TGCACAAATGTGCGCACTCGCGGATGAACGAATTACTCCCTGAGAGGACTTGTAGTTCCCGAGTCATATTGAAGATTCATTCAAAATTAACGAATCGTTCATGAACGACCCATCACTACCAACAGGGGGGTACTGGCCCACAAATGGGCCTCAGCAAACTTTGTGGAGGGTCAGGTCATATTTAAAAAAAATCTTAGCAGTGGACAGTTAGGAGAATGATCATGTTGCTTTAGTTCATTTTATCCCCTAGTTCAGTCGTCCTCAACCATCGGTCTGTGGATCAATCGATACCAGGCTGCACAAGAAACATTCTCTCGCTTACACCTTGGTCACTTTAGCGCCCAAATTTAACCTAAAAGCAGCAAAATGAGTAAGAAACATATGTCTTTGGAAAGTTTCTTTGCCAAGGGGAAAAGGCCCAGTGAAGGAACTGCCAAGGAATGGATCCGCAACCCACTTGTCAGCAAATCAGGTGAATCCAGCATGTCTGTGCAAGAAGATCAACTGATGGAGATTGGAAATGACAGCAGGATTTTAGGGGATATTCGCAAATCGTGTATTTCTAGAGTTCGCACAAGTTTGTTGTTTCCAATGGAAGTGCCCAAATTTGCGCTCACAAGCGGCGTGAGGCGTTCGCACCAATTAACCCCGGGCTGCGAAGGCACCGGAAGTCACATGACAAGAATTGACTGATCAGCTTCAGCTTGTATGGAATATTCACATTTCGGTATAATTAGTTTTCTCAGACAAACACGGAACACACTAACACTGCAGTGCTTTGTACTTTTCCCCATAAATAAAACTTGTATCAAAGCGACAGCAATGTTTTTCAGCTTTTCATCATCTGAGAAAACGGTTAATGGTTGCCTAGCAACCTATGAAACACCGAAAAGGGCCAATTAAAAGACCAAAGGCTTATGTTTTTTAGTTACAAACAGCCTACTGATGTTTTGCTTTATATTTTACATTAGGCTATTATTTGTGCATAAACTTATCTAGATGTAGTTATAAACTGTTTGTTTGAAAACAGCGTTTTTTTTGTCATCTTTACTGCAAACTTTTATGAGCAGTAATATCATTAAATGTGGAGGGGGGCCTCACAGTATTTTCCGGGGGAAAAGGGGGTCTCAGGCAAAAAAGGTTGAAAGCCACTGGTCTATAGAACAAACCATCATTATACAATAACTTGCCTAATTACCCTATCTTGCCCAGTTAACCTAATTAACCTAGTTAAGCCTTTAAATGTCACTTTAAGCTGTATAGAAGTATCTTGAAAAATATCTAGTCAAATATTATTTACTGTCATCATGGCAAATATAAAAGAAATCATTATTAGAAATAGGTTTTTAAAACTATTGTGTTTAGAAATGTGTTGAAGAAATCTTCTCTATTTTAAACAGAAATTGGGAAAAAAATTAAACAAAGATGCTAATAATTCAGGGGGGCTAATATTTCTGTATGTATACATAACTGTATGTATGTGAGTGTGTGTGTGTGTGTGTGTGTGTGTGTGTGTGTGTGTGTGTGTGTGTGTGTGTGTGTGTGTGTGTGTGTGTGTGTGTGTGTGTGTGTGTGTGTGTGTATGTATGTATGTATGTATGTATGTATGTATGTATGTATGTATGTATGTATGTATGTATATATATATTAGGGATGTAACGGTATTGTAAATACCGTCATACCGCAATATTAAATTTTTTCGATATTAACGAAGTCGCATGACTCGGTAAAACTATAGGTCTTCTGAGAAAATTTGCTCAGGCGAATGAAGCGAACGGGAGGTAGCTGGAACTTCATTTCCCATCAGCCCCGGCGTGGCCATAATCCTTTGCGGTCTGTTGTCGCTACAGATCCAGTAATGCGGAAATGGAGTGTGCTGCTAGTAGCGGAGATGAAAAAAAGATGGAAATGATCGAACCTAAAGCGGGTGTTGTCGCCGCGCGCGTGCTGAATAGCGGTGCTGTCGCGCGCGTTCTGATCAGCTGTGTTGTGGCGCGCGTATTGTAAAGCGCCGAGGGGGGGTTGAGCGCGCATACTCAAGAGAGGTGTTATCGCGCGCCTACTGAAGGGCTGGACTGGACGGAGGTTGTGTCGCGTCGCGGGGGCACTTTTGATCGTTTTGGAAGGGCATTTTCTATCCAAGACTAAAAAGGGCATGTGCACTGCACAGGTTGAGCCCTATGTGTGCACGTGCCTGCAAGTTGGGGAATACGACTAATAACAGTCATGGGGACTGCAGAAACACAGCACACTGTTCAGATTGATGCAGACATTGACTTGTACCGCAAAGAGATCTCTATCTCACTCATGGTTTGTCCTCTCAAGTGGGGGAAAGACAATGCACAACGTTACCCCACTGCTGTCAACATGGGCCAAGTCATATCTCTCTTGTCCCAGAATCCTCAGTCCCAAATGAGAGGGTTTTTTTCTGTTGCAGGGGACATTGTAAATACCCAGAGATACCAGCTTTTACCAGATTATATTTATATGATAATTTTCCTTTAAACCCATCTCTATCTAAGTGAGTGATTAAATGTTAAATGTGATGAGTTTTTAACAATACTAAATTGAAACTTTATTTTTTTACATGGTTTAATAATTTTTTGTTATTAAAATTGAAGTTCCTGTTTCAAAGCTAACAGATAGATGGCTAATTTGTATGTCATTGACACTTTTGGCACTTTTTTGGGAGTATTTTCAAAAGTTTTTTTTTTCCTGTAAATGATTCAATAAATACCGTACCGTGACATTCATACCGAGGTATTACCGTACCGTGAAATTCTGATACCGTTACATCCCTAATATATATATATAAACACTTGTAATCACTGAATTAAATATTATTTGAAGCAATGTGCTTTTTTTCATATCTCTACAGAACAAAAGTCTGGTTGTCAGTCTTCAGCAATCTTTTCAGCAATGCCTGAATCAATCTTTTGGCACGAGTCTTCACGCTTCTCTCCTGCAGCACTCCAGCAGCACAGGAGCAGGAGAAACATCACAAACAGACCCTCTGAAACAGAAACACAGAAACACTTTGAAACGCATGAGAGAATTTTTTACTACAAAATCTACTATCGCTGTAAAGAAATCCTGCAATGACAAAGGGAAGAAGGACACTACAGCTGCTAAACATTGAAGGACATCATTCATTTTGAATTGACAGAAATACTGTTTTGAAGAGAAAATGACCACTTTGTATTTATTGCTGTTGTTTATTTAGCTTCGCCTTTACTTAAATGTGAATTAAACAGATGTTTTATTTCATTTTAAGGACTCGGTGCTCACTTGGCCTTTTTTTTCTGCTGTGATTTAGTTATGAAGGTGCGTTATTTGTGTTGATCAATGTTATTATGTCTGCCAGCAGAGGGCGCAATGCTCCTTTGGTTTCCTTTGGTCAAGGATTTGAAGCAAGCCTAGTGTTACATTTGTGTATTTATAGATAGATAGATAGATAGGTAGGTAGGTAGGTAGGTAGGTAGATAGATAGATAGATAGATAGATAGATAGATAGATAGATAGATAGATAGATAGATAGATAGATAGATAGATAGATAGATAGATAGATAGATAGATAGATAGATAGATAGATGGTAAACAAAGAAAATTGTCAACAAAATATTCATATATTTATTTTCTTTTCGGCTTAGTCCCTTTATAAATCTGGGATCGCCACAGCAAAATGAACCACCAATTTATCCAGCATGTTTTACGCAGCAGATGCTCTTCCAGCTGCAACCCATCACTTGGAAACATCCATACACACTCATTCACACACATACACTATAGACAAATTAGCCTACCCAATTCTTCTGTACCGCATGTCTTTTTACGTGTGTAGGAAACCAAAGCACCTGGAGGAAACCCACGCGAACATGGGGAGAAGATGCAAACTCCACACAAAAACGCCAGCTGACCCAGCCGAAGCTTGAACCAGTGACCTTCTTGCTGTGAGGCGAACGTGCTACCCATTGCAGCCTGTCAAAAAAACCAAATTCCTTATATTTGATATTTAAATATTAACATGGAAATACACATTCAAATTCCATTTTGAGCTTTTTTGACTGGAATCTGATCATATTTGGCAAGTATGCCACCAAGAAACTATATTATTTAGTTATGTTTCAAGCTAATTTTTTTTATACCGCCCTTCAAACTTTTTCTTCAGATTACAAAAAGTTATAGAAATAATGGAAAATGCAAAAAAAAAAATGCGGATGAATTCCCTGCTGTAAAATCCAGCTTAAACCAGCCTAGGCTGGTTGGCTGGTTTTAGCTGGTTGACCAGCCTGGTTTTGGCCATTTCCAGGCTGGTTTCCAGCCATTTTCAGCCTGGTCTTAGCTGGTCAGGCTGGAAAATTACCAGCCAAATCCAGCTTGACCAGCCTGGTTTAAGCTGGATATAGCTGGTTTTGGCTGGACTCCCAGCTTGGCTAGGCTGGTCAAGCTGTTTTTAGCTGGTCATCTCCCTGCCTGACCAGCTAAGACCAGGCTGGAAATGGCTGGAAACCAGTCTGGAAGTGGCCAAAACCCCTCTAAAACCAGCCTGGTCGACCAGCTAAAACCAGCCATGGATTTTTCAGCAGGGTTATAATTTGGTAAATCCTTATATCACATCATACTTTTTCTGTCTTTGTGTAGGTCTCCTTGGTTCCTCTAATTTCTGAGTTTTACGAGTGAATATAATGGGGTAATTGTATGTTTTTTTCAAATAAACTGTTTAAAACGTCTTGTGTTTTGCACCGTATGAAAGAGAACAAAACAAGCAGAATTAATGGGCTCTCGTGTGAACCAGTTTTCGAGGGCAGCTTTTGAGTTTATTCTTGACGACAAAGAACAACATTAGCTGTTAATCAACATATTTTCATTTTGATGCATCCCACAATCAGTATTGACGATTTGCCAAGGCTAACTGAGAGCGCACTGTTCTGATTGGGTGAAAAAGAGTACAAGTCCCACCCACTGTTTAAATCCATAAATAGTTCAAGTAGCCCAAGTGCAGCTCTCACTCAACACTTGAGACTTTCGCAGTTGTTCATTTGGTGAAATGGTTGTTCTGGTCAAACCGAGTCCTCAGGTGGGCAGCAAAGCGATGGATGGAAATCAGCACAAGGTGGAGGCGAATATTCTGCTACTTGGAGCAGAAAATGTCGGGAAGTCAGGTAAGCAGAAATACTTTGAAGGTTTCTGTTATATGTGTATAAGGTATGTTTTAAGCATCTAAATAATATTTTCTTCTTTGTTGCAGCTCTTACAGTGCGTTTTCTCACCAGAAGATTCATTGGAGAATATGGGGATATTGGTACGTATTTGCTGTAAAAACATTCATAATAGACCCACAATACATTTTGTTTGCAAACGAGCTGTTTTTAATCGTTCTGTGCTCTCTTTCAGAATCAATATACAGTCATATCGACAAAACAGATGGGCGTGAGGTATCCTTAAACATCTGGGACTCACTGTATCCACAGGTATGTCGTCTTGTCTGGCTTCAGAAATTTGAGTGTTTGTAGGTCTCATTGTTGTGAATGTTTGAGTGTGTATGTTTAAACTTTTCCGTCATAAGTTTTGTAATTAATATTCAGTGGTTTGAAGTAACAAATTACAAATACTCAAATCACTGTAATTGAGTAGTTTTTCCTCACGATTTGTAATTTGCTAAGTTTTAATAAAAATATGTACTTTACTTTCCCTTGAATACATTTTAGTGCTGTATTGGTATTTTTACTCGGTTATTTTCCTTCAACCTGCAGTCACTACTTTTTTTTTTTATTCTGGTCTACGGGAATTGTGGAAAAATCAGTCCTGGTAATCAAATTACACATAGAAAGTAACAACCTCATAGGCACTTTATAAAAGCAGCAAAGTGTTTGGAAGCATTAAAATTGTCCAAGAAAATATCCACATTCATTTCACACACTAAATCAGAGACTGTTTAGACACTGATGAGAAGATGAAGGATGCTTACTGCATGATGACTAAAAACATGGCTAAATGGCCTTAAACAATAGCTAAATCCACTACAGAATGTTACGTTCACACATGCGTTTACATGTTTAAAACTGCATGAAAACGCATAAGCCATTCACAGCGTAATACTCGCCACCCTTGAGTACTTTTTAAAGGGCTACTTTTTACTTCTACTTTGAGCAAAATTTACAAGTACTTTTACTCTACTTTCACTACATTTTTTGGGGAAGTAATGGTAGTTTTACTTGGGTACGATTTTTCTGTACTCGTTCCACCTTAAAACTTTAACTGTATTTTGATAAATCTGAAACATTTTTAATCAAATTTGAAAAACTTGAAATAAACTAAGTTTGTGTGTAGTTTTAAGTATGTTATTGTCTGAGAAAATTGGCAATATAAAGCAAATGACATTTATTTATAAAAAAAAAATTGTGATTGTCAGCATCATATTTTCTGTTTGAAAAACAAAGCAGGACAACTACTGTTTAAACCAGAGTTGATCCATTACTGTATGTGTTTTGTATAATTCTTTATATTCATTGTTAATGTATTTTGACAATCTGAATTCCGTCCGTTGTAGAGCTGCGAAACGACCGAATCTATCAGCGACAAGCAGCTCCAGTGGGCTGACGGTGTGATCCTGGTCTACAGCATCTGCGACCACTCCAGCTTTGAGGTGGTCCGACAACAGGTGCAGCTCATCCGCCAAACCAGAAAGCTCTCCGCATCCGTACCCATCATCATCGTAGGAAACAAGCGAGATCTGCTCCATCAGCGGGCCGTCCCGAGCGAGGAGGGCCGTCTGTTCGCCCTGTCTGCAGACTGCGGCTTCTTCGAGATCTCAGCTGCTGAAACCTACCACGGGGTCCTTCTGGTCTTCCACGAAATCCTGGACCTCATCAAGGAGTCCAGAGCAATAAAAAAGGGCATGGTGGGAATCAAGGGCATCGTCAGAAGCGTGTCTGCCGTGTTTGGAAAGAAGCGCGAGTAGAAAACTGAGGGCGAATTGGTGATCATGATGACCATATGAGGCCCCTGGCAGCCTAGCATCTAAATAGCTCAGAAGAGGCCCCCGGCTGAAGGGTTTTTGAGCTTGAAGGGGGTCAAGTAGCCAACATGGATGATGGAGAGAAGAATAATAAGCATGTTAAACGTTCAGAGCTCAGCTTAAAGTTGAAGGAAAGTAGATTGAGTTTGTTTGAGGAAGGTGATAAAGGAAGTCCTTATAAGTGAACCTGGGCTTTGATTTAAGTTGGTCAAAGGGTACGTACATAAAATTGAAATGAAAACTGCGTTTACACTAGTAGGTTTTTGTTTTAAAATGGCATATTGCTGTTTTTACAGAGTTATTTTACTACACTGTAAAAATGCTGGCTCCGCACAATTGAGATGTGTTGGGGCAACATTAAAGAAAGTTAGCTTATTAGCTTTTACAAATTTAAGTGGATTGGACATAAATTAATTAAGTTGTCTATAAAAAACTCAAGAATTATGTTGTTTACACTCATTTTAAATGCGTAGTTTGAAAAAAATGTAAGCATAAATATTTGTGTGTACACTGTAAAACCCAACAGTCAACTTTATCAAATACAATGAGTGGAGTTAACTCAAAATGTCCTGGAAGTTAATTCTACTCATTTGAAAAGAGTTTTGAACTCAGTGTCGAAGGTAATGAGTTAATTAATTACCTTATTACTTCAACTTAAATGGAGTAAGTTCCCAGCACTCGTATAGATTCGTTTTTAACTCAAATGGCTTGTAGCAATCGGTTTTCTCAAACGGTTTGAGTTGCCTTAACTTATTGGGTTTTACAGTACTCAGTTGGTTTGAGTTCTCTTCATTTCGTGGGTTTTACTGTGCTCATATTGCTTCATTTATTCAAATGGATTAAGTTCACAGTACTCATTAGGATTAATTTTTGAATTGAAATAGTTTGTAGCAATCGGTTTCCTCAGATGGTTTGAGTTAACTTAACTTTTTGGGTTTTGCAGTATAGAAAACAATCCCCATCCACACTTAGCAGCATGACACGTGATCATTCATGCTAACTAGGCATGCTCATGTTTTGTCAGCATTCATATTTGCCATCTACAATTGCTTTTAGGTCATATGAGAAGGGTTCGATGAAACACAATCTACAATAGAGAATCTGGATGGCCTCGTTATGCTCAGTTTTTGCAGGTCAAAGATTAAGGAGCAGTGTGGATGCCAGGTTTAACAAGATATATACAAAAAAAAACTAATGTTTTAGAATGAAAACACACTAGTGTAAACGGCACAGTGGGACACTGCATTAGTGCATGTCCACTTTTTCAGCAGAGGGGGTTCTGGAGTATTTTCCTAAAGCACAGGCCTCAAACGGGATTCCTGGAGAGCCGCAGCTCTGCACAGTTTTGCTTCAACCCTAATCAAACACCGCTCGAAAGAGTCTTAAACACCTTGATTACTTGCATCAGCTGTGTTTGATTAGGGTTGGAGCAAAACTGTGCAGAGCTGCGGCTCTCCAGGAATCCCGTTTGAGGCCTGTGTCCTAAAACAGTTTACTAAAATATCCAGCAACCGCGTGAATTACAAACTCTGATTTGAAGCAAATACAATTAGATGAAAATGATTTGAACTATATACTACAATCCCATGATGCATTGCAAATCAAACAAATTCCTCTTTTAAATTAAGCTGTTGGTTGTATCAATAGATTATAAAGTATTTTGACAGGGTACTAGGATGATTCCACATTTTTAGTGTTTCATGGCAGTGGCTATGACTTTATCTTGCTGCCACTTGCTGATTGGTGGAATTTTCTGTACAGCATTATGGATAATGTAGTTTTTTTGTGTTGTATGATCTCTGTTATTTAGCTTGAGTGTTTTAATGCAAGCAGATTTCAACATACGACTGATTAACAGTCCTACAATAGATCCATGTTCAAAGTTGATCAGTTACTGTGGAAAAAATGAAGTTCCAGAGACCAGCAGTTGCTCTCAACTGTAATCCTCGTCGAGAACAAACTTTTATTTCTGAAAATATGTTCAAGGAATTAAATGAGCTGGATCTCATGTCCTTAAATGCACAGATGGACTTTATTTTCATGAGTCTCTACTGACATGTTAGTTCTGAGTGATTAAATGTAGTAACTGTGTAGTAAACTGTATATTTTATGTACATATTGTAATTTACTAAAGTTTTCTTTGAGGTTGTGCTAGTATCAGTGTTACTCACATGTGAACATTCATACCAAGGAGGATCACTGTAACTGTACTAATTCTATGGGGATACCAACATCCAGATCACAATTATAACAAAACTGAGAAAAAAAATATTAAAGGATGATTCCTTGGATTTACTAAAAAAAATTAAGTTAAGGGGTTGTAAACAATTTATTTAGGTTCATTTTAAACAAAGTTGAACATTACTAAATTTAACTTGTTTAAATTCAACACAAATAAAATGTTTGCAACAACTTTGCAGACAGCATTTTTTCAGTGACTATGCAGACATTCAGACTTTAAAGAGCTTGAGCATTCAAGGTGACAGACTGCTGTTGATTCTTGTTATGGAAATCTAGTTAATTTTACAGTGATCGTCTTTCTTGGTGTGAACAAGCCTGCAGTGCAGATAAGTGGGATATTAATAGTGTACATGTTATCGCCTTGTATATACTTTACACTGTATTCTATACTTTTCAGATGTGTTTTTATTGAATGTACGTCAATTATCGATGTCAATAAAGACAAACAAAACATTTACCTTTATTGTCCAGTCATTGATCAATCATTCATTCTCTGCTCAAATAGCAAGGCAAGGCAAGTTTATTTATATAGGACATTTCATACACAGTGGTAATTCAAAGTGCTTTACACAAACAGGACTGAAAGAGACAAGTATAAGAAAATAAAAATGAATAATAAATGATTAAAATGTGGTAAAACAGGTTATAAAAGTATATATATAAAAAAGAAAGACTTAATAGCGCGCACTGTTGGACGTAGCACAGTGCTCATTCAGCAAAGGCACAGCCAAACACGTGTTTTAAGTGTTGATTTAAATGTGCCTAATGTTGGAGCACATCTGATCACTTCTGGAAGCTGATTCCAGCAGGGAGGGTAATAATAGCTGAAGGAGGATTCACCCTGCTTTGGCTGAACTCAGTCAGCAAATCTGTAATGTATTAAGGTCCTAGGCCATTTAGTGATTTATAGACCAGTAATAATACTTTAAAATCTATTCTGAATGTAACTGGGAGCCAGTGAAAAGACCTGAGGACAGGTGTGATGTGCTCAGATTTTCTTGTTCTGTTCAGAATCCTGGCAGCGGTGTTTTGGGTGAGATGGAAGTCTTTTTGGGAAGGCGAGTGAGAAGTTACAGTAACATTACATTACAGTAATCCACCCTGCTGGTCATAAAAGCTTGAGCAAGCTTCTCACTGGAAACAAAGCATCTAATTCTTGCCATGTTTTTGAGATGATAGTATGCTGATTTAGTTACTGCTTTGACATGACTACTAAAACTCATAACTGACTTAGAATCACACCACGATTCTTGACCTTATAATATACTGATTTTTAGTACTCAGAACAACAACTGCATTTACTAAATTGTTTAATTACATTTAAAGAGAAATATTACATTTGTTACAGGAAAAAGCACAATAGGCTGTTAGGATTTAAGCTAGAAGCTTGAAACATGTAACATACTTGCTTTGCAACATCACATTTTTAACATCATTTAACACCCTTCGGTGACCGTTCATACACATCTATGCGTAACACAATTGTTTTCTATCAGCTCTTGCTTAGCAAAGCATGATTCAGCCCATGAGAAATCAAAGTAATGTTAATCATATACTTTTCTCCTCTTCTCTTGATTAAACATAAATTTTGGCAGCTTTCAACAAATGATTTCCAGCAAATAGTTATCAATCATGAATCCAACTCTCAGTCCACAGAATCTAAGGCTCAGAAGTAAAAAATACGTTTGTTTGCTCTACACAAATTGTTCTGTTACATCATACGTTTATTTGCACTTACTACTACAATCAGACAATGAAAGCAATAAAATGCCACATACACGAATGGCACTGCAGAAAGCAAATCCATACTGTTTTCATTTCATTCTAATCCACATGAAAAATACTATAGTACTTTATAGTAATCGTGATCTGATGAACTGTAATAAATAGCCTATGTATAAAAATACAAAATCAAACAAACCAAATCATTACCCTGGTGAAGGCAGTTCTCTGCTGAAACGCACAAGTTTTTTAACGATTAGCCATGTGCATAAAGGCTTTTTAATATGTTTTCCACATTTTTCAAGTACCTTGGACTGATTTTTGCTGTTTAAACAGCCTATTTACTACAGTAAACCGTGTAGTGTAGTGTAGAGTACAATATTGTGTAATTTGTTTGTCTATACTAACATTTCTTCAAGTACTAGCACGGTTCAAAGCCACTATAGCATGTACTACAAACTACTATAGTATTTTTTAATGTAGGGAAGTAATACACATAGCTAAACAATGCTTGATTTTGTCATAAGATTTATTCATCTGCACATTCTCAATGCTAGGTAAATGATTTCATCCAAAAGTTAAATTGTAACGATATGATTGTCTTTTGTAGACAAGCTGAAGGATTTATTCTATTCATTTTTTTCAATGGTGTGTTTGCTGTACTCTTCGTAACAATCAGCAAACCGAATAATCTGTAATTAAATGATCTGTAATTGAATGTAGGTTTAATGTAGAAGATAAGTAGACCCTAGTGCTCTGTGGTTTCCACCACAGGTAAGACCTGATCTTCATTTGAGGAGCTCAGATACTCAAACGCTCGCTGGCTCTGTGTTACTAACTGCATAATGGGAGCCAGCAGGACCTCGGTGGTCGAGGAACGGCGTCGAATCATATCGGTGGTGGGCACAGCCAATGTGTCGAGCTCTGGAGGCCCCACTGAGTTGGAATCCGTCTTCAAACTGCCTTTACGTCCATTTGCTGGGACCGGGCTTGGGGTTGGAGTTGGGGACTGAACTGGGCTGGTTGGAACCCCACTGCTGGACCCGCGGCGGGAACGGGCATAAAGGCTTCTGCGGCGACGTGGACGACCATCCATGGCCTTGAGGAAGAGACTGTTTGCAGAGGCACGGCCAGAGGGACTCTCGGGGACCTCATCTGGAGTCGGGTTGTTTGCAGCATCGAGATCAGACACCTGTTTCACCTGAGAAAGTAGAACCAAACGCTCTTATCGTAGGTCTCTGATTCTTATTTTTTAGTATTTTGGAAATGTTATTCAATTCAGTCAATGTCCTGTTCAATCTGAGACTATATTTGCAGTTTATCTAAGACCAAATCTAATTCAATGGGAAAATGCTGAAACACTGATTTCTAAACTCACAATTATACTACATTTCAAATGAACAACAAAAATATGAAGTGACCTGTACCATTGTTGTCAATATTTGAGATCTAATTAAATTTTCCAGTTAGCTCCAGCTAATGAGCATTTGCAAAGATTTGCATGACACAAATTTAAATTAGATTGTGTTTTTTTTTTTCAAAACAGGGCGGAGCTACAAATGCATATGTGTCAGCATAGTGGCAGATTTAAAACAAGACTAACATTATCTCTGTGAAAAGCTGAAACTTTCAGAAGATATGGGTCAAAAAAAGGCCGTCCATGGAGACTACAGTGTTCATTCGTGCATAATAAAACTACTAGGACTCTTAGCATTTTAGTCTCGTACATTATCTTAAGCAGGTAGGGTGCTAACAATCCAATGGTGGACAACTGGTCACTCAGGGCTGTTTATGCTAATGAAGAAGAGATTGTCACCAATGGGTGGAACTTTCCCCCTCTAATAACATGTACAAAGGGAGAATGTTAATCAAAGTGCATCTGCAGACTGTTTTTATGATGTGATTATAACAATTAAAGAATTTTTATCATTAGAGGTGGGCTATAGTACCACACAACAGTGTTTAACCCTTATGTACTGTTGGGGATGTTTTCATCATCTCTGGGGTGCTTTTCTGTCTTAATTTAGCCATAACTTTTTCTGTGTTATAGCTAGCAGAATGATTTTAGGTGACAAATCTTATTTTGAGAAAATGCTTTAAAATAACATAAATAAATAAAAATAAAAATAAAAATAAATAAAAAACCTTTTTATTATGTTAGGAATGAAAACATCTACAGAATTAAACTACTGTAAAAATGCATCTGATAAATATTTTTTCTGTTTTTTTGCATAAATCTGTAATCAACCTCAGTCTTGATTAAAACTACTAAATTGTTTAGAAAAATTACAGGATTTTAATTCTTTAATTGCCAAATTAAAAATGATGTCACTGAATGTCACTTTAAGCTGTATAGAAGTGTCAAATATCTAGTCAGATATTATGTACTTTCATCATGGCAAAAGATAAAATAAATCAGTTATAAAAAATGAGTTATTAAAACTATTATGTTTAGAAATGTGTTGAAAAAATCTTCTCTCCATTAAACAGAAATTGGGGAAAAATAAACAGGGAGGCTAATAATTCAGGGGGTTTAATAATTCTGACTTCAACTGTATTTTCAATTTAAAAAGTAACTGTGGAATGGATTTTTTAACCCTTTAATAAAGTCTTGGACATGTGAAACAACATTTGCCTTTGATGCATTTGATTAATTTTTTTTTCTTTCCCTCTAATTTATTTAATTTTGCCCCATTGACTGCCATTGTAACCACATTTTTTAAAATTACAAAACCATGACACCATATAATCATCCATTTTTGATTGTTCGGGGTTTTCCCTGTTGGGAAGAGGTTAAATTTGTAATTTTTAATGTTGATCGTTAGTTAGCACCATTAAGCCTTTAGAAAAAAGCTTAGTTTATCAATTTTATATCGAGTATAACAGCAAATTAAAGTGTGTCTGAGAGTGTTAGACTGTAAAAATGCCCTTTACGCACTTACGTTGATGTGTCTGAGAAAACTAAATATGCATCTCAGTTCTCAGAACTACACCGAGTAAAGAAAAACAAAGACTATGTATTTATACACCATCAAATGTGGTTATAAAGGAAGTCAATGGGGCAAAAACAGCCACCAACAGTAAATTAGGGAGAAAAAAAATGAAAATCTAACAATGCATCAAAGCCAATGTTGTTACTAATCGTTCATATGTCCAAGACTTTCATAAAAGATTAAAAAATCTAGTCCACAATTACTTCTTATATTGAAAATACATCATTTTGCGGTTTTTTTTCCAAATCAGTCACATTATTTGAGAAGTTGGCAATTAAAGAGTTAAAATCCTGTAATTTTCTAAACAATTTAGTATTTTTGATCAAGACTGAGGTTGTTAACCCCATAATAAATACATTTTACAAAATGTGAAAAATATATTTATCTGTTGCATTTTTACAGCAGTGTTATTCAGTGGATGTTTTCATCCTGAACATAACAAAGGGTAGTCAATTTAAACAGTGCACAAGGTTTAAATCCCTTATAAAAGAGATTGGTGCACTAGGTAAAGCACCAAGCAAGTGTACCACTTAAAAAAATGTCATATATAAAGATGGTCAAAAGATATTTGTGAAAATTCCCATTTTATAGTGTAAGAATACAAAAGGCAAGATCAAACATCAAACCAATTTAAACCCAATGTGCAACTAAATAGAGGTGTTTTTAAACTATAACAGTTCTTATGCATAATTGAAGCTTAATTGTGGCCTGAACACATTATGTACCTGAACTTAAATTGGGTACAGCACTAAATGAAAATAAAGAAACACAGTAACACAGAGAAAATATAAACCAGGCCATGTGATTAGTGCTACACAGACTATGATGTTTTTATATACAGGAACACAGACTGACATATTTAGCTTTGTTCATCCTATCATCTTTAAATAGCACAAATTGATTTTCAGACTCAACCATTCTGCATCTGGTTTTCCTTGAGGGCAGTGTTCATTTTCACTAGAAGCGCATGTGTGTGTTATTGACAGAATTTGAATGAACGTTGTGCTGCTCACCAGGTCATAGAGCGGGGTGGTGTTGATGAGCAGCTGTATAAGAATCTGTCCCAGTTCCAGCAGGTCGTTCGTGAGAGCGCGTACCTGTGTAGGCAGAACCAGCATCTGCTGTACAGGAGGCCAAACCGTCAGTGCCTGCAGACCTGCTGTGAGCCGAGAAACCAGCTGAGAACGCAGCTCCTCCACATGATGAACCCGAGCGGTGTAAAAGGACAGAAGCAGCTGCAGCAGCATCTCCACCATCTCCATCAGCCTCTTTAGACCCACCTGAATATAACAAATGCTGGTCAGGAAACATTGATAGACCTGATTATAACACCATTTGGTGTTTAAAAGGAAACGTGACAGCCCAACCGATCATATGGACTGAGAAGAGCTTTAATGAAGTCACGTTTTTATTGCTGAACTTGGTGAACTGGACATGGGGCCTTACAGTTTGATGAAGTGGCAGTAATGACTCTGTTTAAATGCCCACAGACAACTTGCAGAAACGTGAAAGGGTTCTTTGGGGATACTCTCTATGCTCTGAGCAAATAAAGCAACAAACAACACACAAAGCAAACTATAACTGCTAGAAAAACTGGTATTGTCAGCCACAGTTGGAGTCAATTGAACCTTTTCAGACTCACAAAAGAGACATTCCTACATTAATGTTGTCCCTCTCCTGCTCACCATGCCCTGTTTCTAAATGTTCAGATTTGCTTGTTTGATTTTTTGATTTTTGATTTTTATTTATTTATTCACAAAAAACAAAATAGATTTACAGATAAGTAACGAAAAGCTGTTTCGTCCACGCTATAAAATCTCTTCATCTTTTAAGATTAAACCATTTTTTTCTTGTTCTATGTATAAATAATGCAAATATGTCTATTTTTTGCCATTTACAATAGCAATTACTTCTTTATTAGTAAAATTAAGTGTAATTTAAAGTAAATACAAACTTTAATTTATTAAAAAAATTAAGTACTAAGTGTAAAAAGAGTAATCTGACTTATTTGAAGGACTCACGGATGCTGAAATGTGAATTTAACTTTTGCAAAAAATAATTTTCCAAATAAAGCACCATTTTCATCTCGTGTGTTCAAGAAAACACATAAGAATCTGCCACAAAGTAATAATTGTTCATTTATTGATCAAAGAATTAATTTAATAATGTTTTTACATTGTAACTCTTAGATTTTTTTTGTACTTTAAAGTTAGATATTAGTGCTTAAAATGTACTGCTAGTACATTTTTTAAGACTACAGTGTTCATTTGTGCATCCTAAAATTAATTTATAATGCATCTCAGTCGCTGACATTGTTTTTAGTAAGTACTGTGCTAAAACTCTAATAATGGATGGGTGCTTTTTACTCAGGGCTGTTAATGTTAATGAAGGAAAGATTCTCACTATTGGGTGGGACTTTACCCCCTCTAATGACATGTCCAAAGGCAGAATGTCAATCAAAGTGTTTCTGCAGACTGTGTTTATCAAGTGTGATTATAAATAAATAGAATTAATTATTTTTGTCATTGGAGGTGGGCTTTAGTGCCACACAACAGTGTTTAAACTCCTCATAAAAGATATTTTTGCTTAATAGGTCTCCTTTAATGTTGGTGTACCAGGTGAAGCACCAAGCAAGTGTACCAGATAAAAAGGTCATATATATGAAGACGGTCAAAAGATGTCTATGTCAAAAAAAGGGTGTTTTGCTTATGTCTTTGTTAAAAATGAAATTGTTAGTTTATAGCCTCTGAGAATAGGCCCAGATATTGCCAGTTTAGTTTGAACTTCAAACCAATACAAACCAAATGGAGGTATTTTTAGACTATAACAGTTCTTATGCATAATAGCTTAATTTTGGTCTGAACACATTATGTACCTGAACTTTAATTAGGCCCAGCACTAAATCATTTTCAAATAATTTTCAAATAAAGTATCATTTCCATCTGTTGTGTTCAAGAAAACATGTGGGAAACTGCCACAAAATAATAATTGTTCATTCAGGGATCAAGGAATTCATTTGGTAATGTTTTTACATTGTAACTCTTAGAATTTTTTGTACTTTAGAGGTATATATTAATGCTTAAAATGTACCTTTTTTAAAGGCACTACCAAAGTGAGACACTTTTTTTTAAGTGTCATTTACGTACATTTTCTTATCAGACCAAAAATATAAGTGCATCAACTTCACTTTTAAAGGTTTTACGTACTTATGCAGCACATTTAAGTTGATTTTGAAACAAGCAATCACATTAAACCTGGGTTATTATCAAGGTCTGTCTGCTCATCCTACAACCAGCCAACGTCTCACGTGCAGCTTCATCTGCCATCAGGCAACGTGAGCGAGAATACACAAGAGCAGTCTGGCGGACACCAGCACAAACAGCCCTGCTTTGGCAGTAGGACTCCCCGACTATTGCCAGTTCATTTAGGTGAGAAAAAAGTGGGTCGGCCAAATTTGAAAGTCCCCTCTGTGTTCTCAACTCCCATTGTCATAAGCCCGTCACCTCGCCTCCGGTCCACTGCACAGCCCGTGACCAACACGTGAATTACTGTAGGGCAATATGCTGCCAAGTCTTAGACTTGTGTGTGTCTCTGACAGCTCAGCATCAGTCCCGGTAGCACACACTCACATTTCTGCGCTCCAGACTCTCTGGGGTGTCTTTTAGAGTTGGTTAATGAAGATTCTTTTGAACATGGTGCACAGGGGCTTTCGTGCTTTTGGACCCAATTACTCTCCACCCTACTGCTGGGAAAGCAGCGAAGGACTCTGTACAGACAATAGCCCACCTTGCCCCTTTGATCCTTAGTACACAAACTGGTCTACCCATGGAACACTTGTCTGAGATAGGCCATGTGTCTAACGGGTCAGTTAGTATCTGGGGTTTCTAGATGAACATGAGATTTAATTTTCCCATCAGTTTGGCTGCAGAACTGAGGTGTGCTCTACATAATGTTACATAATTTAAACTATAGAGATACCTGGAGTGTTTTTAATACAGTGATTTTAAATAAACAAAAAAGCCTCTGAAAATGTATTGCTTTTGTACCTTAATTTCTCATATTGTGGAAAGTGGTTGTAAATAGCCAACACATTGAAAAGAATTTTCAGCATATAATAAATAAGAAGCTCCAATGAACTGGAGGTGTTACAAATCAGCCTTGAGAAGTGTCTATACTGTCTTAAGGCTTTAACTGCCTGCTCTACTAAATGGTTGACCATATTTTGACTGTTATAAATAATGTTTTACACACTCAGCATTGTACATAATCAAACACAATCCTGTTGCACTACTACACTTGATTTTGGTTTTATTTTAAAAGAAACAAGAAAATGTGTTAAATGAGAATCTGAAATATTTTATGGCATATTTCAAAAAACAAAGATGATTTAGTGTTAAAAATTTTTTTATTTCGATTATATTTTGAAATAAATTGGTCTTACACTTCATATTTTCTGATGTTTCATAGTATATGTATTAATTACAGTACTTTTACTGTTAACCGACATATCAACTATTTGGTAGAGGCTGATATTTTAGAAATTATAGGATGTGTTGAACAATAATACATTGAGTCTCTAACTAGTGAAATTAGGAGTTAAGAAATGCAATCCAAAAAAGTTTTCTTGGTGCGGCAGTTAAAGGGATAATGCACTTTGAGGAGAATAGTACAAATGGCAAATACTACAGGCATGAGCTGGAGTATTACAGTTGCAATTGAAACTGTAAAGAAATCAACTGTAGCTAAACCACCAAATACATTTTGAGAGGGTTTTAAGAAAAACATTCTCATTCAAAAACAAACTCAACTACATTTATCACTACGCAACATTTGTCAGACACTACTGGAACTCTGCCAACTAACTGTCTTTTTGAAAATCACAAAAGGTACCCATGTCCACAGTTAAATAAGTTAAATCTTTAATTGTGTGAGTCTATTGCTCTGCTTGTGGTCCTAGAAATCTTAAAATATAAGTACACCGATCACAAATCTGTCTTTTTATTTCATGTTTTAATAGAAAGCTATTCAATATTATATTTGTGCATATACATTAGATTAGTCAGTACTGAAGCCAAATCTGGAGCTTATATAACAAAATAACTTAAAACTAGAACCTAAAGTTCGTTGACGAACTTTGATGTTGGCTTGAGAAAGCCAACGTGACTGCGCCGGGGACTCAAAGGCAGTTGGCAGGAAGCACAGCGGTTGAGAAGTGGTTGCTAGGCGGTTGCTAAGGTGTAGCTAAGGCATTCCTAGGTAGTTGCTAGGGTGTTCTGAGTGGTTTCTAGGCTGTTGCTAGGGTCCACTGGACTGTTAATCGGAAGGCCTCATTTACATTTTTGATCAAATCGAGAGAGAGAGAGAGAGAGGACTGATTTGTTCAGGTTGTTTAATGCAGATCACTATAGTATAGTTAGTATTTATAGTATATATTATAATCTGAACAAAATTACATTATAATAAATATCATATAAAGAAAAATATTAAATTAAAATACTAATGAAACAATAGCACATGCATTTAGTTAATTTGTCTTTTATTTAATCAGTCTTATCAGTTTTGCAGTTAATATAGAGTACAGTCAATTTACAGTAATTTGCAGCATTATATATATAGTTATAGTTATATAGTTATATACAGTTTACAGGAAGAAAATCGCATTAAATACAATATTATAGGCCGTCTTCATCACGTGGTTAATTCTGACCAATGACGTTCCACCCCACTGGCCACTAACACAATGTTATAATCGTAATATTTAGTTGTCATCACCTGGGTGATTTTATTTTTTTTTTGGTACAGCATAGGCCAAAAGCTTGGCTTTCATTGTCATTATCACAAGTGAGGAGAAGGCTCTTTTGCAGCACAGAATATTGTTTTGAAAGAAATATCTGAAGTAAACTTATGTTTTTGCTAACATAAAAGGGGGATTAAGAAATAATCCTTATAACCCTAACCATAAATGTGTGTATGTGTTATATATGTATATATGTATGTATATATATACATACATATATACAGTTTAAGTCAGAATTATTAACCCCCTTTTGATTTTTTTTCCCCTTTTTTAAATATTTCCCAAATGATGTTTAACAGAGCAAGGAAATTTTCACAGTATGTCTGATAATATTTTTTCTTCTTGAGAAAGTCTTATTTGTTTTATTTCGGCTAGAATAAAAGCAGTCATTAATTATTTAAAAACTATTTTTGGGACACAATTATTATCCCCTTTAAGCAATTTTTTTTTGATAGTCTACAGAACAAACCATCGTTATACAAT